ATAATAGTGCTAGAGTTTGAGTTGCAGTGAAACGCATGTACATACTGCAGACGTCTTGAGACCAAAGCAGCAGCTAGGAAAAGCTCGATTGCACCTAAATCCCCCAGCTACTTCGCTTTCCAAAACCCTAAACCCAAACTTCAATATCTGCAGGAAGGGCGAGTGGGTCAACGCGCTGGTTCTGCAGCCACCAGCAATCCACCTCTCCGCGCATGCCACAACGTTTCACATTCTCTTGGACCCTCGACGCCATAGAGGGCCCAGGGTTTGGGGATTTCGGGTTTAGGGGTTTAGTGGTTTAGGGTTTAGGGTTTAGGGGTAGTTCTCTAAGTTAGGGTCCCCTTCTTACGTCCCCACTCGAGTGCGGCACCCTTTTTAAAAAGACCCTCAAAGGGACTCTAATTTGGAGAGCTACCTAGAGCTCTCCAGGGAGGCTTAAAGAAAAGGGTGCTAAAAAAAATAAGTCCCTATGTTCTTTTTTTTTTTGGGGGGGGGGTCCTTACTATGGTTATGGTAAAATGTACCCCAGAGCCCAAAACCCTATTGAAACTATTAAGGCCCCAAGATTAGGTTAGAAGGTAAAATGGGATCCAGTGGGCTCACACTCAAGATACCGAACGAATGCAGGCTCTGCTGGTTTAGGGTCTAGGGTTAGGGTTTAGGCTTTAGGCTTTAGGGTTTAGGGTTTAGGGTTTAGGGTTAGGGTTTAGGTTTTAGAATTGTTCTGCAAGGCTTCATGCCCCTAGCAATGCCTGACGCCCTCTTTTCGCACTCGCCGCCAAGCCACCGAAGCCCAAGGATGCTATTAATGTAGGGGCCTTAATACTTAGAATAGGGTTCCTTTAAAGGGTCCCTTAGAGGATTCTACAAGGGTTACCATAAGGGCTTAGGGCTTAGGGGCCTGAATAGTTAGAATAGGGTTTTGGGGCTTCCTTATAATAGATAGAGTATAACATACCCCAAACCCTATTCTAACTGTTAAGGCCCCTATATTAGATCCCACGACCCGGAGCCAGAACCCATAAGCAACACAAAAAATCTCCGAAGCCTCAACCCTGAAAGACATAATGTAGGGGCCTAGATAATTACCTCTACTATTCCGGTGGTTCCTTACTATAATGTATAGTAAGATCTACCGCCAAAACCATATTCTAATTGTTAAGGCCTGTATATTAAACCTTAGCCCTGTAAGTAACAGAAAGCACCTCTGAAGCTCCAGGGCGAGCCATGTCCCATCGAAGCGAACTCTTGAATCCCCAAAGCTGAAGAGGAGATTACCGGCAAGCCCCTGCAGCGCGTGAATAGGGTTCAGGGTTTAGGATTCAGGGTTTAGGGCAAGCCCGTGTCCAGCAGATGCTTTACCTCGATGCCCGGTGTCGTTTGACGCTGGAGGCGTAAGGCTTATGATGTGTTGACAAGCTAATTGTTGCTGTGTGGAAGTGGACAAATCCCTATGTTCTCGAAACGAACGGAAGTTGGATGGGTCGTCGCTTAGGCTGCACCCGTCTGCTGAGGAGGAAGAGCGAGAACCTGGTCGGGGCCGGCGGTATGACATGATGCTGTCACAGCTGCAGCGCCGTTACCTGCAGGGCGACCAGGCCTTTTGGCGTTTAAGTCGAGTCTAAGGGCGGGTGTCCGGAGGGAAAGACGGGGTGCATGGAGGGTGGGTTCTTGCAGGCTGCCGATGCCAGCTAGGCTGCATCGGCTCCTTTCACACTTTGGCACATGCGACACCGAAGCACTAACCTGCCAAATGGTTGTGTAGAGATCTCGCCCAACATCCAACGGCTTAAGCTAGGTGTGCAACATGTCATCCATGTCGACTCACCCCACCGGTGCTTTCTTTGGCTAACGTCATTCGCTCCAGACCTCAAAGAAGCGAACTAGCCTGATCCCAAACCCAGCCGTAAACCCTAAACCCCACAAGCCTTAGACCCCCCACAACTTTACAAGCCCTCGAACCCAAACCCCACTCAAATCCAATCCAGATCACAGACCCCCGACCTTTGCACTTTCTCAACAATCTCATCGCAGTCTACATGGCCCTAAACCCTACTACCACTGACCTCAACCCAAAAAGTCCTCAGCAAGCCTTGAAACTTTACTACAACAAACCCGCAAGGCTCAATAACACCTCGAAGCCCCAAAGCCCCGAAGTGCTAGAACCCCCGAAAGTCCTTGAAGGATTTAGAACAACAAGCTTGAGAAAACCCTGGCTCTAGAATCCTAAAGCCATATCAGGCCAAAACCCAAAACACACTTTTGAAAAGAATGCCCAAACTTTTTTCAACCCTGTGAATTGCTTGTAAAACGCTCCGCTTTTCAGGCCAAAATTCACAGAAACCCGTATCAAGCGCTGATCAAAAGTTCGAACGACTGCAGAAACCCTTATGGAACCCCCTATGCGGCCTGCAACCCAAAGCCCTAAACATCCCTAAACCCTAAACCCTAAACCCACAAAGCATATAAACTATCGCCTCGATGACCCTCAACCCGAAGCCCTAAAAAGGTTTTGGGTTCAGGATTTTGGGTTCAAGGTTCAGGGTGTAGGATTTGGGGTTTGGGGCCTAGGACTCAGGGTTTAGGATTTATGGGGTTTAAACCCTAAACCCTAAAACCCAAAACCCAAAACCCTAAAACCCAGGTTCAGGGTCGAGGGTTCTTGGGGTTTCCAGTGCAGGTCGAAGTCTTCCGCGGCAGAGAAGGCTGGGCCCAGGGCGTCGTCGCCGAGGTCGGGGGTGGGCCGGGGCTGGTCAATGCCTAAACCCTAAACCCTAAACTCTAAACTCTTAAACCCTAAACCCTAAACCCTAAACAAAGGTGTTTGGGTATAGGGGTTTGGGGTTCCCTGTTGGAACTGCATCCTGATATATTCGAAGCCTCATTCTAACTACTGTGGTGCAAAGGGGCTTAAGGTTAGGAGCTTCGAGTTTAGGTGGTTTTGTAAGAGGTTTGAAGGGGTTATATGCGGCGGAAGACTGAAAGTTTGATAGTAATCCTAGTAGTCGTCGTCGTAGTCGTAGTCGTCTTCTAGTAGAAGTAGTCGTCGGAGTCGTCGTCGGCGTCGTCGTCGGAGTCGTAGGAGTAGTCGTAGTAGTCGAAGAATTCAAGGTTTGTGGGTTTAGCTTAAGAAGGGCTTGGCGGGTTTAGACTCGACTCGAAAAGCGTAGGCCCAAGGTTCGAGAACTACCTGCGTGGTCCCTCCCTGGTTTCGTCGGCATTGGCTTTTGCTGTTTGTGCCGCTGTCGCTGTCCTTCTCGCCTGTCGTTCCCGCAGACTGACGTAGTGCTGTGCTGTGCCAGTCTTTGACATGAGGATGGATCTGGCAGGTTTTGGTAGAGAGAAGCCGAGGATACTCTTAAAGAACGATTTTTCGAGAGACCCAGTGGTCGTTGTGGCAAGGAACCACCAAAGAAACTGACTTTCCGGTGGCGTGGGGAGCACCTGTGCATAGACCCTAAACCCTAACCGCTAAGCCCGAAACCCTAAAAACAAAAAGGTTCTTTGTAAGCTCGACTCTACCCGCGCCAAAGCGAAACCGAAAAGCCATGCTGACTAGCTAACAGAAAAGTGCTGCCCTCTCGTTCCCTGACGGTGCTAATAAAGAAGATCCCCAGAGCTTGAACCTTCCCTATAACCCCCAAACACCCTCAAGCCCTAAACCCATTACCCTAAGTCCAAGTAAACACTAGCACCTGGCACCAAAATTTCCCTTAAGCCCATTGAGCCAAAGGCTCTGAACCCTGGGCAAGCACAGGTGTTCTGCAGACTTTAGATTTGGGTCCATCTAATGATCAAAGCTAACCCTAAACCCTAAACCCCAAACCCAAAGCCTTAAACCCTAAACCTTACACCCTAAACCCTAAACCTTAAATTAAACCCCAAACCCTAAGCCTAGGAACCTGCAAACCCATAAAGCCCCGACACCTGAAACCTTAACAAAACCCAGGAACCCTGAATTTCAAAGTAGGGTTTAGGGTTTAGGGCCTTACAAACCCAAAAACCCAATCAAACCCAAAAACCCAATCCATGCGGCTCCTCAAACCCTAAACCCCCCAAGCCCCGCTGCTGCTCCTCAGGATGTCGTCGAGGAAATTCCGACATTGCCGGAGGACCTGCAAATTGGCGGCCCACCTCTGCCGGAGGAGCTGCAAATGCTTAGGGGTTTAGGGTTTGGGTTTACCCGAAACCCTGACTCCTTTCAAGTTTTTGGGGGTAGGAGTTTTTTCTTCGACGGGACGAGAAGAGCGCAACTGTTGTCCACTTTATCCCTGGACAACTCTGTCGAAGGTTCGGCACACTCTAAGCTTGTGATCGATTTCTGCCATTTTCTAGAAGTCAGACTCGCCGTTGCCATAGTCACGGCTTCGGGCTCAGGGTTTAGGGCCGCGGCTATGATATGGCTTTAGGGTTTAGGGCCTCGGCTATGGCTCTAGGGTTTTCGGCTTATAGGGTTTAGGGTTTAGGGTTTAGGGTTTTCGGCTTATAGGTCTAGTGAGTCTAATGCTTTCGTGATCTCGCTCATGTACAGCTCGGATTCTGCACAGATGAGCCGCTATTCTCGAAAGAGGTCTCACCTTCCATAGGGGTTTCCCGCTTTGGCTTTTGATTTAGGTTTTGAGGAGGATGCATTGAAGGTGTGGAGGAGATACCCCGAACTGACAGCGCATGCAGAGGAGGATGCCGAGAGGGAGAAGCAGCCAGAGACAGCGGAAGCGGTCGCAGACGACCTCAGCCCGTTGAAACGAGAGCACCTTGGACAACTCGTTCATGTTGAGTACCAGGACTTGAGGTTTGACCGCTGCATTGTTGCTTCAATGCAAGCATCATCACGACAGTATCGACTCTGCTGAGTCAGCACCGCCACCATCGTCATCATTGTCACGAGCATCATCGTCATAGCAGTCATGTGGGCCGTCGGCATCACCATCGTGATCATCATCATGATTATGATCATCAACATCAACATCAACATCATCATCATCATCAACAACACCATGGTTGCCGTTATCCTCGTTATCACTATCATCATTGCAATCGTCATCATCGTAACCGTCATCCTCGTCTTCAACACCGTCATGACCCACGTCGTCATCATCACCATTTTCATAAGTATAGACTTTATTACCACACCACAACCGGCGAAATCGCCAGCATCTTAAGCAGCACTACCAACACTACCGCAATCATCAACATTAGCACAGTCAGCAGCAGCCGCCGCCACCACCTTCTGGACCTGTTCATTGCACATTCCTTTGTTTACTTAGGCCCAGATCTCAATTCCTGATGACAGAAACCGCTTCAAACGCCCCCATATTGAGCCCAAGCCCACATCCCAATCCAGGGGCAGCATGGTGTCCATGGCATCCATGGCTGATACAAAGCTCTTCAGCGTCGAGGTGCCGCACTGTTGAGGGGTCCCTGTGGGAGTTTCGGTTCTACTGGCTCAGACAAAGCCCGTCAGATTACATGACCACATACAGCGTGCTTCGTTGCTGTCGGCATCACCGTCGACGAAGTCGCCCAGCCCAGGCATTGTAGGAGAAGCAATGCGAGCAGCACTCGTACTTAATTCCCGATGGTGCTGACGTCGACGATGACTATGTGTCTTCGTGTGGCCTGTGCTTGTGTTGCCTGTTGGTGGTGGTGTGCTGCTCATGTTAATCTCAGGTTCAAACAACGACAATAGTTCCCTCGATCTTGGAAAGTAAATCGCACTAGTGTAAGACCACAAAATAGCTGGTTGGCCATACCCCTACACCAAGAGAGCATGAACTCGCGCGATACCTGGCTACTGTCATCCAGCCAAAAGATCTAAACACCACTATGAGACTATCGTAAGCAGACCCGTGCAACAGCTGTCGCGACGATGCTCCTCACTCTGCTGGGAGAAGTAGCAGCAGGATTTGACAATAATACAAGTCTGGAAACAGAGTTCGTTGTGCTGCAACAGTAACCTGGTGTTGACCAACAGATGTGAGCGAACCAATGAAGTGTTCTGAAAAGAAGAGCTGCCTTAGCATTCCTAGGTGTGAGACTTCGACAATAATCGCAGTTGCTCGATAACGCCATAGAACTCGCTGGAATTCGACTTTCTTCGGGCCTGGCTAAAGGATGATGAAAGCAAAACACCTCAATGGCCTTCGACGGAATCTCACTCGCAGCCGCCCCAAGACACCCTAAACCCTAAGCTCTTGACATGCTCAACTCCCTGAGGCAGCATTGGCCGAGCAAAGCACTATGGCGCCGTGGCTGGAGAAATCCATTTCAGGGTTGTGGGCTTCAGTTTTCGGTTTCGGGGCTTAGGGATCTTCGAAGAAATAGATGCAATAGAGCTATTCCGTGCTAGCTTCTAGCAAGCAAGGGCTGCCGGATAAGGTAATTTTGAATTAAGTTGCTGTCTACTTAAACCCTAAACCCTAAACCCTAAACCCTAAACCCTAAACCCTAAACCGTATGGTTGAAGGTTGCAGACACGAAGATCTCCGGTTGAGACCCTTGGTATATGGAGTTTCGATGGCCGGAAGGCATTCCGAATTCCGGCTGCACATATGGGTGGTTGTCAAAATTATGGTGCCTTTTGGGGTACCCTAAATAATAGGTGCCGTATTATAATAAGGACCCA